GGAAATTGAGAAAAATAAGTAAAACCCTAGAATTATAGAGTTTAAGCTATTAATAAACTAGAATATGAGTCAAATTGCAACCATAGATAAGGTGAGGGTGAGCAATTCTCCATTTATTGCAAAATTCCTCTCTAAATTATAGCAAAAATCACCCCAAAGCCCTCCAAAAACTCGCACCCTTACATAGTAGCAAAATTAGAGTAAGCAAAATTTTTTAGATGAAGTGGCAATTTAATCATATGGCATTGTTTGTTTTACCTGGTTTATGGAGTACATTCCCCCTTTCCCCATTTGGGTGCCATGTCACAAGGGGGGGCACATGGAACCTAGAGTTTAATTTCTCTCCCTTGGAAAATTTCCCTCTATGGTGGAGTATAGAAACCTACCCTCCTCCACCACCCCTTATCTTCATCAGCAAGAATTTTTGAGAGCAGCATTTGTGGAAGAATGGTTAACTATCACTTCCAAGAGGCTTCTAGCGAGCACAAGGTCCCTTCTATTATGGTATGCTTCCTTTTTTAAGCCACCCAATACATATAGACAAGCTAGATGTGGAAGGCCTCTATCGGAAGGTGGCACATGGATCATGCCATGATGTAGATCCACCTTTCAATGATTACAATGGATAAGTGAAATCAAGTGACAAAACCCTATTCTATTTGCTCCACACTATTGCCATTGATCACATCGCATTTAGCTGCTGCAGTCTAGGCCCAAGTTTGGCAGCACATTTGCGGGACTTTGGGGACGAGTATTGGAGGCACTAGGGTTTTGAGGAGTCGTCATGGCATGGAGTATTGGGGTAAGTTCTTTTGTGAGATCCTCACAATGTTTGTAGCTCACAAACTCACTATAGTGGAGGGAGGCCTTGAGCAAGCTTATGCCTTTGCTGTATCAACACAAGGCAAATGAAATAGAGGCTAACCTTGAATCCTCTTCCTCTACTGCCCAGAGTAGGACAAAGGAGGTGCTTGCTAATGCAAGGGAGAACCCTGTAAGCGACTAATTTTTCCATTCTACTTTAGTCACTTAACCACACCTCCGACCACTTGGAGGAGTCTCATTCACAACCTCTATAAGTCCAATTCAGGACTTGGGACTTGCTAGCCCCAAGAATGGCATCCATGCCACCCAACACTTGCACCTGGTCCAAGTGCTCACGTGTTCGGTCCCAAGACCGACACCCAAAGGTACCACTGACATATCGGCCCGTTACGCTAAGGCCATGCCCATTCACCTTTGCTGCACTAGGGGTCCAATACCACTTGCATCACAATCCCGTCTCTCCAAGACTGGGCCATCCGTCCACGAGTGGTCATCCTAGATCCACTCCTTAGCATCCTTAGGATGCCTACAGACCTAGGGAATAGCCTTCCCCAAAGTCCCTTTGTCAGTTCTTGCCAAGTCCCTTTTCTGTCCATGGCCATGTTCGCCAACACTGCCACTCGATCAAGGCCCACAAGCCCGACCACTAAGTCCCATGGTCCTCTGGGACTTCCTCACCATGTGACTATATCTTTAGTCACTACACTAGAGGATTGCTCTTCCTCCTTTCCCCCAGTTGGGACTCAGGGACAACATTTCGGAACACCATGGGCCTACGCGAGCCCTGTGGGTACTCTCCCCACCTTCCCCCTTTAGGTGCTCTAGCCATGGGCTTAGAGCAAGGTTCCATTGAGCCACGCCTGGTATCCAAGTAGGTAGTGCCACCTACACTTGGACTGGGAGCATCGGCCAGTCGATCTCCCGGGGGAACTAGAGCCGGCTTTTGAACACTTCACCAAGCTACCCCACTTGTCGGTCCGTGTTCACTCTAGTCTTGGACTTCCCAGTGGTCAGTTCATCACCCAACACTGGGTCTGGCCTTCCTGGGCCAAACTAGCCTTTCCTGGCCAAACTGGCTCCACTGCAGTCCTCCCCCTACTATACTTTTGGAGCTCACCAAACCCCCCAGGGTTTGGGAGACGAACGCTTTGGGCTTTCACCCTCTCAGACTCGAACTCAGACTCGGACTCGGACTCGGACTCGGACTCGGACTCGGACTCGGACTCGGACTCAGACTCAGACTCGGGCTCGGGCTCGGTCTCAGCCTTGGCCTCGGTCTCAGTCTCGGTCCCGGTCTCGGTCTCGACCTCGGACTCCATCTTGGGTCCTTCTTGGACTCCATCTCGGACTCCGCCTCAGTCCACCTCGGACTCCATCTCGGGTCCATCTCGGACTCCATCTCGGGTCCATTTCGGACTCTGTCTTGGTCCACCTCGGACTCTATCTCGGACTCCATCTTGGGTCCATCTCGGACTCCATCTCGGACTCCATCTCGGGTCCATCTCGGACTCCAATCGGACTCCATCTCGGGTCCATCTCGGACTCCACTTCGGGTCCATCTCGGACTCCAGCTCGGGTCCATCTCGAACTCCGTTTCAGACTCTGTCTCGGACTGCATTTTGGACTCCGTCTCGGGTCCATCTCGGATCCATCTCGGACACTTCCACGTGTCATGTGTTGGTCCCTTTTGGGTCCCCTTTTGGAGCCTTGCTTATTGGTTGCCTCGTGCTCGCTCCTTGAGCACTTTGTTGGGAGTTCCACTCTCGCTCTCAACCTTCCAAGTCGAAGCTTTTAGTCCAAACGTGTTATGCTTGTTTGGCTTTCGCTTCGGCCACTACCACGTGGCACCCTTTCCGGCTCCACTTTGGGGCCTAGGGATTTTGTGTCTCACAAACCCCTTCACACAAGGTAGAGTGTTTATGCCCTTCATACAAAAACTGCTAAACACGGGAGATCTTTGGACTACAACAACTATAATGAAGTTTGACAGCCATCTAATGAGAAGATGACAGACCATGGTACTGGGTATGGCATGTCCCATAGTAGATTTCTTAACATGAGTGGCAACCTAAAGAGGACTATCCTTAAAGTCTTAGTCTATATGGCTCTACTAGAGTGGATAGGACCCTCAACACAAGATAACACTTAACAGCTTGTAGAACTTCTGGGGGCAAGAGCTAGTTATAAATATGTTTATAAATGAACAACATTAGAAGGTATAATATCTTAGAATATCTAAATATAATTTAGGTATATCCATTATCATATATACATTTGTTTAAGCAAACCAAAAATTATGAGTAAAGATAAATAATTTATGAGTAAAGATATAATGAATATAATTAAATAATTTTAAGTCATTTACATATAAATATATAAGGTTCAGATATACACTTATCCTGCCATATACTATTATTAGTGTAATGGGATTTTGATAGCCATCAAATTGGTTTTGATCTAAATCACTCACTCTTGTATATAAATTATTCAGCTAATTGAATATGTACATTTTGAATATGCAAATTTTCATATAAAATTTTAATTTCCTTTGGTGATTGATACCGAATAAGAACCTTGATTGCATGAGCATCCCCAGTTGGAATAAAATGAAGTAGCATAATTTTGGTTTTCCTATAAAACTGAAAATATTTTGGTAAAATTTTAATAAAAAATGTTTTTAAATTATTTTTAATGAACATATTAGTGATACAATATATAACAAATATTAAATTTATTTATTAATAAGGGTAAAGTCATAAAAATATGAAAATTAGTAATAATAATAAATGTAAGTTAATAATATAAAACTTAGAAATCATAGTCTAAAATATAATAATACCTTGTGAGTGAATGAAATATAGAAATGTGCATATTCAAGTAGCCCAAAAACCATAAGTTACATATAAAAATGAGTGGTTCAAATTGAAACAAATCCAGCATCCATCAAAATCCCACTATATTAATAACAATACATAGTATCAAAGTTGTATATATAAACCTCACATTATTGATAGACTAGGATTTGGAGAGATATTTAAGGATGCCTTGATGTAGATAGTGTAACTTGTTTTTCATTTCTTTTTACAAAATGCTTTAGCCATTGTATATGCATAATTTTTAGAGGATAAATTTGTTAAATGGATCCTTTTATTTTATATGGAATTAAATATGTTAGAGTAAATTAAGTTGGGCATATTATGGCTAGCATTTTGACAATATCTTGTAAGATTTGTATATACATTTGTTATAGTCACTCTTTATGATGCTCTTCGATTGACACAATGGTGGAAGACATCAACTCTTTAACATGTATTTTAAATCTACTTCTCAAAGAAGAGGATCATGTTCTAATAGAGGTTGATACTATTGTTGTTAAATGCATTTGTTATTACATTTATTATTGATGGTAGATATTTCCTCCTTTACAAGTGGTGTTTCAACATTTTTATTTGAAATGGATTCTTTTGGATAATAATCTTACATTTATGGTTTAAGCATTTCATATATTGATGTCTTGGCTAAGGATACACCACACTTTTATAAATGTTTATCATTTACAAATGCATGGTTTGGTGGAATTATTAATTTGGACCTTTAAGGGGATGATTGTAAAGTATATAAATTTTCAATATTCAGATTAAAATGGTTATTTATTATTTCTTAAGTATATGTAAGTCTTGTAAAGTTTCATTGATGCTTCACTATATAAACTTTTATATAGTCATGATTTTATATTGCTAACAGAGTTGAGTTTATTTTCACAATTTCCATAAATTGTAGATGCTAAGTCCTGAAATCAACATTTGATGAGCATTCTTAGAAGAGAATAAATGAAAAAGTTATAAGAATAAAATATGCAAAAGTTAAATTTAAATCCAAGCACTTATTAGAATAATTAGAGTTACCCCTCACCTCCACTAAATGTAATTGTATGTAATATAAAAATGTGTATATTCAATTACCCTAAAAACTCTAATTGATATATACAAAAGTGCATCACTCTCTATGCTCCAAAGTCCACCTCCAACATCACTTAAATTAAAAGCAATCTGGCATCTATATACCTTTTTTAGTTTTATAAATATTAAAATATAAAGGAATTTTAAAAATTATTTGAAAAACCTTTTAAATTTAATTATGATACTGTAAACAAACTTTACTTTCACATAAGAGACTTTAATTGCTAAATTGATGTACAGTTTGAATATTGCAATGAATGATATGTGATACAAATAATGCCCAATGGCAAAAAAAGAAAACTTCTCTCTTGTGATTTCACTTTGCTGGTACTACTCCACTTTCGACTAAATACTCGGCAAATTCGTCAATAAGGTATGGCCATGCGCCTTCCGCATCGTAATTTGACAGTGTCGGGCTAATACTCTGAGATAAAAGACTTCAGACATTAGTAGAAGTTTTAATCACGCAAGTACCACCTTTGAAAACTCGAGAAGCTGAGACCATGTGTCCTTGGAAATGGCCTTATTGTGTTTCGCCTGCATACACAATCGCTTCAGAAACAACCAAGAGGGAACAACCACATACTTGTAAGAATTGACACCAGATGCTGATGAGAGGCCAGCCTCTGTCTTCGTACAGCAGCTCCCACATTCTCACCGCCGTGTCTAACGCAAGCGATTTCTGGCCCTGAAACACACGCCCGTTCATGAAGACACCCAACAAAGATAAAGGCGCACGTCACCTTTTCCCTGGCCCAGCAGAACGCAAAAGCATACAGCTCCCGGAATTTATCTGCGCAATGACAACTATCAGCCGAAACCGAAAGAAAAGCACGTAGCTCACGTTCATCTTTGAGCTCCGCTCGAAGTGCTGGAAGAACAGATCTTAGCTTGGGAATCGAATCAACCCTGGCATTCAGGAGAGCTATTTTTCTTCAACATGTGCGAAAAACGTAAGCCTTCATACCCGATAGAGTGGAAGCCTTGCATAAATTCTTTTTTTGACCATTCACACATAGTAGCCGCCTTCATGTGCCATGAGATTACAAGCTGCGAAGCACAGAAAGCATTATGTCACAGCCTTAAAAACGTTGTTCTTACCATGACGACATCGCCGGGGTCTACCTGGAGAGCAAATAAAAAAACACCAGCTTTAGCATGCCAGAGCTCTAAAATCTTTAAAGTTACCTCCAGATCTTCGCAGAACAAAGAGATCCCATCCACTAAGACCATGTCAGAGTAGGGGTCTGCAAAAGAGACAAATGAGGAAGAGAAAGAAAGCCAAAGTATTCACGAAGGACCACCTTTGTAGCGAGAATACACTTCTTCCAGCTGATAAGGATCAAGCTTCGGCCTCGCAAAAGCCTGGTTATAGTATATATCCAGCGCTCCATCTAGATTCCAATCGCTGGCCTTGAGCGCGGCAAGAGCAGCCTTTTCACTGGAGCACAGGCAGTAAACAAAGAGATTTTGATAAGTAGGTAGCGAGAAAAACAAGCACAAGCCACCAAATGGAGCCTTCAATCAACAATACTTTGCCCCCGAGATCGACATGAATTGCTGGATTTTGTCTCGGCCTCTTCCAAACTTATGCTGCAAGGAGCAGTGAAAGAGCGAATTAGCACCGAGAAACTCTCGCAAAATCTTCCACAGAACTAGCAAAACGATCCAGAGTCGTATTTCACGGGAAGAAATCGCAAGTCGTGGAGAAAGAACTCACCATGCCGAAGAATCCTTGCGCATTGCCCGACATTTTGGAGCGCCTGGAGCTGGAATTCGTGAGCGCTCCCTCTCCCGCGTTGAGAAACCCTAGGGCGCCCGGTAGCGCATTCTGTCCCTCGCTCGAGAGAGCACACGGCACCTGAGTAAAATGATCACGTGTTCGATTCCCATCCCATCATGGCGGATAAAATGCGATTCCCTAGAATCTTTTATTTCCCATGGAAGAAGAGGGGGGATCGCGGCGCTGGGCAGTGAATGCCGCAGAATGGAAACCCTCGTCCGCGGAGTTCGATCTCTTTCTCTCGGCGCTACCGCTCTGCGACTGGGAGGCCGTGCTCAGGTATGGCGCTGGATCTCCTGCGGTGAAAATCTCATGGATCGCAGTGGATTTCGATAGGTTTGTGAGAATCGAGGATCGGAAGATGGGGATCTTGAGCCGGCTGCTACAGCGGAAGCTCGTGAATTCGGTTCTTGGGATTCCTTACAAGGAGATCATCATCCATCGCACTCCTCAAGGCAAGCCTTTTCTAGTACGTATAGAATTTGCTGGAAAAAAAGCGTGTGACTCTTACATGTTTGATCTTTTTTTCTTCCTTTGGTTCTTCTACGTTCTTACTTCCTCGTGTTCTTGCTGTGATTGCCTTTCATCCTCGTTTAGTTTGCTTCTTTGATCTTGTAAGTTTTAGAAAAAAGTTTCCAAGCCTTGATGGGGCAAATGAGTGTGTGACCGTGTAGAATGCTTTGACATGTTTGATCTTTTATGGTTTGGTTCTTCTACGTTCTTACCAGGTTTTGATGTCGGGTTGTCCTTGCAAGTTTTGTTCTTGTTCTTGGTGCTTGATTGCCTTCAATCCTCGTTTAATTTGATTCTGTGATCTGATTGACTTGTAAGTTCCACATTCAAGAGAGAGGCTTTGACAGCTTTGTTTGTTTTTTTGTTTTTTTTTTTTTTTGGTTTGCAGGCCAACGATAGACGACGCCTGAGCCTTCCAGAGTTTAATTTTAACGTTTCTCACCATGGAGACTATGTCGCAATCGCGTCGGAGCCACACCATCTCGTTGGCGTGGACGTCATGTCGCATGACCCCCGAATCAAAGAACAGCCACCCGCGTACGTGGAGAACTTTCGGTCCTGCTTCACAGCGCTTGAATGGGGAAACATTATGAGCTCGAAGCCGGACCACAAAAAGATCTTGCACCAATTTTACAGGTAAAGAATCTCTATCACATTGTTTTCTATTCCATTCTCTTTTCACTACCGTGATCTCGTCTCTAACTTCAGGCATTGGTGCTTGAAGGAAGCGTACGTAAAAGCTATTGGAATCGGGCTTGGTTTCAACCTCCAGCGGCTCGAGTTCTTCTTTCTCGACGGGGAAATCTGGGGACAAGTAGCTAGCGTACGAATCGATGGCAAACATCGAGAAGATTGGTCATTCTCTTTGCATCAACTAGACAACGAGCACTGCGTAAGTTTCTCATATCTTTTGGTCTAAACTATGAGAGTTTCTTCGCAGGTTTGCGTCGCAAAAGGCTCTTCGCAAGAAGGAAGCATGGAAAAATACCCGGTCGACAAGCAGCCATTTAAAATTCTCACAGTGGATGAGCTCCTTCCAAACAATCAAAAATAACGCTTGGAACTCTTGAAAACTCTGTGTCTTATCACTCCAAACTTCCGTGGAAGTATCGTAACCGTCAGGCTTCTGTGGATTCCAATCGTACGCCTCGCGTAAAATATGCCAGCATCTTTTCTATCTGGACACGTGGAGCTGCGCACTGTTTAGAAGTGTCCCAATGCGGCTACGCCACGTATTCGCCACCTGTCAAACCAGTCTGACGTGGGATGCTAGAATATGCCGCCGAAGCTGGAGGCTTGGTTCCCGAGGCTGGACTTTTGTGTAGTAGTGGTTTTGTTTCATTTGGCAGTGTTTGTGGAAGGAGGAGGCTATGGCGCGTCGCGGCGAGGTCTTGTCCCTGGCGGCCGCTCTCGAAGAAATGCGATGCCTCGCGAAGGCGCTCGGCATCTAGATGCGGAGCTCACGGCGCGGCAGTGTTTCTTCCATCCCCGGGCAGGGAGATTTCGAGGTTTCTGGTCTCAAGCAGCTGGAGCTAGGGCGCATTGGCTGTGGATGAGGGATCGCCGGAATCGCAGGCCGCGGATCTGATCGTTCCGGTAGCGCTAGGGTTTTTGTTTCACTGTTCTCGCTTCGTCCTCCGCCATGCCTTCCCACAACGATCTTGATAGGCAGATCGAGCAGCTGTGGGAGTGCAAGCCGCTGTCGGAGCTGGAAGTGAAGAATCTGTGCGAGCAGGCGCGCGCCATACTGGTGGAGGAATGGAACGTCCAGCCGGTGAAATGCCCCGTGACCGTGTGCGGCGACATCCACGGCCAGTTCCACGATCTGATTGAGCTCTTCCGGATTGGAGGCAAGGCCCCCGATACGAATTATCTCTTCATGGGCGACTATGTCGGTGAGTTCTAGATAGGAAGAATTGGTCGTTGCTACGAGTTGATCTATGGTTTTCCAGATCGCGGCTACTACTCCGTTGAGACCGTGACGCTGCTCGTGGCCTTGAAGGTACGGTATCGAGATAGAATAACGATCCTGAGGGGGAACCATGAAAGCAGGCAGATCACGCAAGTGTACGGGTTTTTATGTTTTTTTTTTTGTTTTTTTTTGTTTGATCTTGGGGAATTGGTGATGATCACAGCGTTGCTCTCTTTGCAGTTATGGTTTCTACGACGAATGCCTTAGGAAATATGGAAACGCGAATGTCTGGAAGTACTTCACCGATTTGTTCGATTACTTACCACTCACGGCGCTGATTGAGAACCAAGTAAGTTTCTGTTTTTCTCTTTCGCAAGGTTTGAAATGTTCGCGGGCTCGCAGATTTTCTGCCTCCACGGTGGTCTTTCGCCGTCTCTGGATACTCTAGACCACATCCGTGCGCTGGATCGCATTCAAGAAGTAAGTTTCTCTTTTGTGCTTCTGTAAAGCTCGTTGGTGGCTTGTTTAATCTTGTAGAGCTGACTTTACGTGATCCACAGGTACCGCATGAAGGCCCAATGTGTGACCTCCTTTGGTCGGACCCGGATGATCGGTGTGGATGGGGAATCTCCCCGAGGGGCGCGGGATACACATTCGGTCAAGACATCGCGGAACAGTTCAACCACACTAATGGCCTGAGCTTGGTGGCCCGTGCACACCAGCTTGTGATGGAAGGATACAACTGGTGCCAGGTAGGAGGCCTCCGATGGATTGATTGAAAGCGATAGCCACCAACGTTTTTCCTTGAGTTTTTTTTCTCAAGCTGAGACTGCTTCGTTTCGAGGCAACGGGATGGAACTGACTGGAAGTTTTGGGATGAATTTTGCAGGACAAGAACGTTGTGACGGTGTTTAGTGCCCCCAACTACTGTTACCGGTGTGGCAACATGGCGGCAATAATGGAGATTGATGAGACGATGGGGCGGACCTTCCTCCAGTTTGAGCCAGCTCCCCGACAGAGCGAGCCCGACGTTACTCGCAAGACTCCCGACTACTTTTTGTAAGCAAGGCAAGTTCCATCTTACTGTTCTTCTGGGGGCTTAAGTTTGAGGGGAGAGGGAGAGAGGAGAGAGGGATCGATCGAGCTGCGGAAACCAGGAAGGAATTTGATGGGGTATATGTATAGCGTCGAATGTAGTTCGCTTGGTTGGGGGAGCAAAAAAAAAGAAGAGAAAAGAGAGAGGAGCTGGCTGTAACATTTGCAGAAGAAGGCCACGGCTTGTTCTTGTGCAAGAATTTTAGATGTGGGAGTGGAGGCTTGCAAAAAGGTCTATTCTTTGATTTCGTTCTTTGTTTTTTACCTTTCGTTTTTGTTATAAATTTTTTGGTTTAGTGGACACTTGCAACTTCTTTAATCTGCCATCCAATGGCTAGAAATTCCTCACATTCTTGTCGGTAATCTTCCTCCTGAGTTCCTTGCCACCTTCTCTGTATGTTCTTCTAAGAATATGTCTTAGTCTTCATTGAATGCATGTGTAATCCGTAATTATGTGAAGGGTAGTAGACCTGGAACAAGTAGTTTCTACTTTAAAGGTTTTTTAACTTTTTATGTTCTTCTCTTTAGAGACATCGATGGCTGCATTGCAAGTGAGAATCCAAATGTGCATATTGGCTAAATCAGGCCAATGTGAAGCAATCCTTCTTCACTCTGTCGCACGACTCTTTCTTCTAAATCACTGCAAGATGCTCAAGATCTACCTGATGAACATTGAGACTAATAGTGAGGAAATGAATGTAAACATTGAGGAGATGAGTAGAATGGCATTAGTAACAATTATGAAGAGGATCAATTCTCTGGTTGTTCTCAATGTCTAGGAAAGTGAAAAACAAGCAAACAAATCTATCTTTGAGATAAATGGTGAGGAAATAATACTTTTTACTTGACGAATATGGAGGCTACTAGTGAGGAAATAACACTTTTAGATGTGAATAATGAGAAGATGAGCAAAATGGCATTAGTAACAATTATGAAGAGGATCAGTTCTCTTGGCTGATCTCAGTGTCTAGGAAAGTGAGAAACAAGCAAACAGTACCTTTAATTAACTGCAAGCCAACAAAACCAATGAGAAATAAAAAGGAGGGTCAGAAGGAAATTAACCATTTGCTCTATGAATATTGCAAGAGGAAAAGAAAAACACATGAAAATCTCATCAATTCGGGATATAGTTAAATAACTACTTCTTGGCTAGAATTTGAGGAGGATACCACCAGATTTTTTGAGCTTCTCTTTCTGCCATGAAAATATTGAGTGAAAATTTACCACTGGATGATGAGATTGCTACCCTGACAGCACTAGGTTGTAGCTTCAATCCAAGAACAAAAGCTCCCTATTCCAAGGCGCCCTTATGCCATTATTGCAATGTTGATTTGAACATGTTGTTCAAAGTGTTTAATTAATTATTAGTAAATACTTTATATTAACAGAATTAATTAAAAGCCAGAAAACAAAAACATATACTATGAATAGGGGCTAAAGTCTCTAAGAAAAATATATCAGGTCTCAGTTCTTATAAGTAGAGAACATTCCTGTTGTACAATGGATCAATGCACATAGATTTTGGTTTGCAAATTCCGGCTCGAATAAAAGGATGTTCATGGTCATTAAAGA